TGTAGCAATTTTATGGATACCAGACTTTATTTATATTGCAATATTATCCAAGGTGACCTGCTATTTCCCCAATCAAAAATTCCAATTGTCGATGGTTTAAATAATACAACTAGGTATTTTATGTCTTTTCACGTCGGTCATCCGAAAATAGGACAGCGTTTACGAAGCGCTGAACACCAACGTCCATATTCTTACACACTGATTAGATTTTCTGATCGGTTCGGTAGGCTTTCCGACCTGAAAATTCAGATTCGGTGTGAATGCACTTAAAGGCACATGATTTGAAAGAGGTATTGTGGTTTGTGGTTGGGGTTAGACTGAGTTTCTTCGAAAAAATCCTTCCAGCCAAGTAAAATCTTCTAAATCAAAGCTTATTAAAAATATAAACTTATATCTGAATGTGTAATGTACTATTACGCAACACCCACGGACAATGAGTAACCAATGAAACCAAATGTACGATATCCTGGAATTATGAGAACTTTGATATTGCCGAATGTGTATGGATACTCAAGGGCTTATTGGATTGTTATGCGAAATAATATACATGTATAACGTCACTGTAACGAGGACATGTGACAATATACCTAATATAGGTTTAGTGCTAACACAGAACTAGTTATGCGAAATATACATTATATTAGGTAACTGTAACGAGAGCATGTGACAATAACCCTAATATGGGTTTAGTGCTAAGATTAATTTATGTTAATGTATAATTATATCTCTTTTATGTGCATGCCTTTAGCTCATAATGTCAATGTCATTACTAGGTCCCCGGTTCAATTCCCATCGCTGCTCTCCTTGTGTTTCAGCTGGAGGGCTGATTTACAAGTTACGATAGCTGACTGTCTTTAGCCGAATGAGCTAAGCTGCCCGTCCATCTATACTTAGTATAGTATGTGTAGTTTCACCTTATAAATATCAGCTTGATTGTCTGTTTTGTTTTCACGAAACCGGGCGCACATGCTGCGTACCATAAAGTAGGTTTTTTTTATGCATTTGGTTGAGTCCCGTGTGCAATATGTCCCATATGCACGTTAAAGAATGCGTAATACACTCTTCGGCAAAGAGTAGGATATTGTATCCCGGGGTACTGCCCAATTCACCTACCGGATCCCGAAAAAAGTCTTCAGACTTTCTGGGTTATCCGGGTGTGATTCACACAGAAATACTTATCAATTTATTTGTGTTTATGTATAGTTGTGATGCCAGAGGCGAATCTAGTAGGCCTTTTTCTTCCCCGGGATTGAGGGGGTGAGGCGTGGAGTAGCAACCGAGGAATTGGAGTCGGGAATGCTCCTTCTCTAAACGATTTTACGCTAGTATATTAGAGATTTTTTGCTGTTTACCAGGTGGTGGTAGGCCTAAAGGAGGAGGTATGAGAGAATTCTTACCACCTCCTAGATCCGAAGCTGTATACGGTACTTAAGTAATGGTTATAAAAAAAACTGTTAAAACAACATGAATTCTTAGTTGTTACGATTTAACAATAATTCCTGTAAAACATCATGCGACTAGATACATAAGCAGCTTGTTTTAGGACATAATTTATAAAATTCATCACAAGTCTTGGATAAGTACACTTGTGAATCCCTTGCTCTCTGAAGTATGCAGGATATGCAGTCATCAAAATAGTACAGACTATGTTATTAAAAGAACCGGGTTAATAGGGTCTTTACGGGTATTTAAGATAGACATAAATTACATAGATTCCTTATAGTGTGTTTCTCAACCGGATGCGAACGTGTGACCAACGTGAGAAAATACACCCATCTTAGTAGAGCCAGTCCAATCGACAAGGGCAAACAAAGGAACGTGACCAGGAAAGCAGGGTCTTGGAAATCTTAATTGACCATACCTATTTTGTCAGTATTTTCAAATGTAGTATTTAATTATAGGACTTACTTTGATAGTATAAATTTATACTCTAATAATATAATTTAAAAAAAAAACGCGGTTTCCATTAATAAATTTGGCCAGTGATACTTCACCTCACTCTACAACGCTATAAGCCTGTCTAAATCCTTTCGCTAATTTCATTCCCAAGTCCAAACAATGATGTATTTTTATCCCATTCGGTGATGCAATTCTTCCCATCGGAAGTTGTAGCTAGTCAATCCAGTCTGAAATCGTGAATGACCCGTTTGTTGTCATTGACCCTGAGATTAAATATATATATATATTCCTATCATACCTATAAAGCTGCCATCATATAATATAAAGTTTCAAATCTACCAAAGAATTTATTGTAAACGAATCTGTATCATATGGTTTGAATCACATAACCATGCAGTTCGTGATGTCCAGATCTCTAGCAACCATCTTGACTTTACTAATGTTGACGGGTTGTTCTGGCAAAGTCGCATTCGTCGAAATGCCAAGCTTGATAGAGGCAACCGAAGGTGAGAGTATTGCGTTCTTGTGTGTTTTGCTCCTGACGCCTCCTCAGACTCAGTACACTTCGTGGATCACGTGGCATAGGGCAGGCAATCTTCTGATCGCAAACGGCGACGATACTTACCTGTCAGATTCCCGCTATTCGGTCCAGTTCTCGCGAGTGCCGTCAGATAGCCTGGTAGACATATCGGTCACTATTTCTAGTACGTTATTTATAGCTAATGTTGGCGAAAGTGACGAAGACACTTTTAGATGTTTTTTACATTATATTGTTGGAGCTTCTGGACCAACCAACAGTTTTGTGTCGTCTGCTGGATCACTGGAAGTCAATGCAAACACGATTCCTCAATCATCATGCCTGCTACAACCACAGACTGTCAGTGTTGCTGAAACTGTTAGACTAACTTGCTTTTCTCCGGCTATGTATCCACCACTTACACTGCAGTGGTTCCATTCAGACGTTCCAATTGGGTCACCAGTTGTTCAATCAAGCGAGCATAGTATTGATCAAATTATTTATCTAATTCTTCCATTAAATGCTACGTCAGCGATGGATAATTCACAATTTGAATGTAGGACATCAAGTTCTGCGAACACGGTTGGTCGGAGATGTATTGCTGGCCCTCTGAGTGTACGGCCACCTCAAATACCAATAGTTAATGTTGTCCAAATAAAACCGGTCGCAGACGGCAGCACTGACATACAGTTAAGATGTCAAACAACTGGAGTTCCTCCTTTCTCCTATTACTGGTTGGTATCGAAGGTTCTCAAGGACCAAGTTAGCGATTTAAGGTCAGAAGACTTGCAAATTAAAGACATTGATTCTAGCGACGTAGGAGGAGTGGTCATTTGCAAAGTGACCGATGGCTACGGTCAAGAGGAGACAAGTTTGTTGTACAAAATCACGGTCGACCATATCCTACAAGTACAAGCTACGGCATCTCCACTTCAGACAACGTCACCAAAGGCACGCAATGAGGTAACTGTATCGGGATCCACTAAATCTGTGCATAGAACAAATAAAAATAATCAGAAGCCTGTTATTGTTACAGAAGGCACTAGCTCTCCTGAAAAATCTACCCAAGAAAATCGTTCGTCAAAAATCAAAACGATTACAATGGCAATATGTGCAATTTGTTTTATTGTAGGAGTAGGTTTAGGACTTTTATTTTACTTCGTCAAAACAAAAAGAAAATGTGTAAACAGCGTTCCAGAGGAACTAAAATTTGAAGACCAAAACAAAACGTTACAAATTGAGCAGCAAAATAATACGAAAGGATTAAAAAATTTGGTTCTCTATGAAAGCATTCGCCAGCATAGTAAGCCAGAGCATACAGCTAACCATGATAAAGAGGATACCTCAACTGAATTGGTATTAAAAGTTAATACAAAGGAACATACGGTTGTATATGCTGATCTTAATCTTCCTGAATGCACTAGTCCAGTACCTGTCGCCTCAGATATGCCAAATACCCTTTACGCTGACATACGAAAACATTAGATGCAAATCTAGATAACGTAGAAAACTATTAAAAGTTCGCTTCTCGAGTACTACTAGGCCTACTTGTCAAAGGTTGAAACAACTCGTGTATCAATTTGGGTTTAGGGACGTCTGCCAACCCCAAAATCAATAGAAATATGTTGAGGTCGGGATATCAGATGTTTTCGTGCATTTCGCTTGTGCCATTGTGGGCAAGGTACTTGACTTTCGTCGTCTTCTCCAGGGAGTATAAAGTTAATTTTTTTTCTCGGGTAAAATAGGTACCTGGTATGACGGTGTGGAATTGAATTTTGGCCGCCTCGCTCTTTACTGACATCATTTACCAGGCATATGCTCGGGAGAACATGGATCCAACGAGGTGTAACATTCGTTTGAAGCAGTTTGGAGACTTCCAATACAATCCAATCTAAACTTTTGATTATATGGTGCATTAAAAATGTTTCAATGCGCCAAAGACATTATACGGCCTATATCTCATATATATGGCGTTATATAAATTGAATAGTCATTAATATTATAAAGATGTATATACATAGGCCTATGCCTGTATGCTATAATTATATATTATTATAGGCCTATATACTGTATTATATACTATCATTATCAACTCAGTGATCAATAACAGTAAATTTGTGTTACTCTTCTAATAAATGTGTGCCTAACGTTTATCTGTTCTACCAAGTTTTATTTTGACTTTGTATTATATTAGAAGCGTTGTATTTTGGCAAATAATGTATGTAAATCTTGCTCGGGATAACAGTAGGCCTATCATAATAATAATAATAATAATAATAATAATAATAATAATAATAATAATAATAATAATAATAATAATAATAATAATAATAATAATAATTAATAATAATAATAATAACAATAATAATAATAACAATAAATAAATAAATAAATGCCTACTGTTACAATTTGCTATCCAATTCGGATACCATTTTAATCCGAGATCACTTTTCAATGTAAACAACTAACCATTTTAGTCAAAGCTAATCTTCTGATTGTAATCCTCTGATTGAGGACGGACGCTCAGCCCAACAACCCAGATTGTTCCAAAAGTGGTCTCGAATTAGAGGGCGTTCTGTATTTTCAACAACAAAACACGGTGACCGTGTTGCTAGAAAACTGTCGATGTGTAGGTGTGCACTGAATATTATGCGTAAACTCAGCTGTGGCCGTGCCAATAGCCTGAATCATACAAAATGGCAGCCATCACAGACGGTAAGTATGTGATCATGTTTTTTCGGAAATTGCGCTTATGTGTGGTCAGTTAGTGTTTGATTTAAGTGCTTTTTATATTTCAATGAATGAGTGCTAAAATATAAGCCTAAGATAATATGACTTATATGGGCCAGGATGATAAGAATTAATTGATTAGACGGCCTAGGCTAAGTTAGGCTAAGCCTACTGCCGTTTTGTTATGTTGGGGCTGTGCCTCCTAACTAATGTAATTAATCGGTCGGTAGCGCCTACCTTACGAAGGCCTAGTGTAGCCTGTAGGCTAGGCCTAGCTCTATTAGTATTTTGCAATACCAGTAGGCTAGTATAAGCCTGATAATATAATGAACTTTCCTGATGAATCCATTTTTGGGTCCTTATAACTTGTTGGTTTCCTCCAGTAATAGTATTATTTTATAATTATTTGTGAAGCAGCCTAGCTAGGAGAGGCCTAGGCTAGGTCTAGCTAGACCTAGGGCGTAGCCTAAGCCTAGGCCTACCTAGGCGGCTATGCTAATCTGAGATGATTTGTTTGATTTTGATTTGATTTCTTTTTTTGCAGATGAAGTGATTTGTAAACGTCTCCTAATTGAAGGGGAAAGTGGTGGAGATGATCGAAGGATAAGCACTTTACTTAAGATGTTTATCAAGTGGTGTACAACAGATTTGAATGAAGAGGAATGGTAATAATAATAATAGATCGCTACAATCTACATTTGCTAGAATTGTTCATCATCTTTATTTATTTTTTTTAATTAATTAATTTATTTTTTAATATAAAAATAAAAAAAATAAAAAATTCATCATCTTTATATTGGGCAGTGGCGGATCCAGGAATTCAAAATAGACGGTCCCAGAAAGTCAATAGGGAGCTTCTGATTGGACGGTGACGGAAGAAAGTAGAACGTTATGACGTTACATAAAGTCATCTGCACATGTGAGAACGTTGTCACATGGATTCTAGGATGCAATTTGACAGAATTTACGTTGTGCAGAAAACGTAGGGCGGTCACGCATGTGTTAATCCTTTCTAGCATCACACACAAATCATAAGCTCTCTGATGTTACAGATATAGGGTCCAGATTACCTCAGCCCCACAATTGTTGAATTTCTTTGAATCCTCTTATAATGTGCATATGTATGTCGTTAGATAATAGAAGAACATTGACTTAAATAAGAGATCAAAATTCTAATCAAAGGGGCTCCGGTTCCTGAAACTTTAGAATTTTTTTATGATGGTCAGTTTTAAAATATACAAGAGGCACCATTTAATGATGATAATAATATTATATTTCATTTCTAGTTGTTCCACATACCAGAAGATGTTGTCTACCCTTGCACAGATTGAGTTCACGATGGAAAAGACGCAGCTAATTCACGACATGAATGCCAAAGAAATGGCGAGTTATGAGCAACTGTACAAGACAATAGGTAAGAAGGTGATGCTCATTTGACCTGTTTATTAAATACTGTATTCATATATCTGTCCATCGGATAAACATTTTACCCATCTGTAATGAATTATTTGACCTATGTGTACAAGCTATAGTTTGCTATTAAACTGAATTTCTGGGCGAAAAAAATATAAGATTGACTTTGAATTGGGCATGGAGTGTTGATTGAAAATTGGCTATTGATTGGCCAGTACAATTTTTGTTCATGAACAGGGGAGGATTCCCCAGGTAAAGGCCCGTAAAAAAACATTAATAACCAGGTTTAATAGCATTTATATATAACAATATATTATCAATTGTCTTACAAACAGAAAGTAAAATGGATGAGGCACAAGATGCTATAAGTGCAAGTAAAGATGAGTTGCAGAAAGCAAAGCGTGTTCGTAGAAACAGACAGGAGTACGACGCCCTCGCCAAAGTAATCCAGAAACAACCTGATAGGAAGGAAACTATGAAGTGAGTAATGAGAGCAATTATTTGAATTTCATTATTTTATTGTTGCTGTCTGTTATATTAATTTGATACCATACTGCAATCATTCAGTTATTACATTTTGTAATCTTTCAATTCATTGATTCCTTCACTCATTCATTCATTCACACACACACACACACACACACACACATAT